TCAAAGTAATAAATCACTTGTTTTAATAATGATTGCACCATAAATTTTTGCTTTGAGTTGAGAAAATGATTTTATTACATGAAAAATTGTACAAAAATACTTATTAAAAATAGCCGTACAGTGATATACACTACATATATTTCTAAATATTTGCCGTGAGTGATTTTTTTTAATTTCATCAACCTATCAGAGTAATTCATTTTGATATACTCATCTTTTAATTACAGCTTCACCTTTTTGATATTTTAGCATTTCTTCTGGTCCTAATTTGAGTGAAATAGCCAATTCTTCAAACACCGGTTTTATAAATACAGAAGCCTGACTAAAACAAAACTAAATATATATTTATTGTTTTGTCTTTTTATTTCCTTAAAAATGGTTTATAACATGAATTGGTCAAATAAGATATTTATCGTGACTATAACTGATTATTTGTTGGATAAAAATGCTTTTAAAAAACCCTTAAATTTGACAATTTTCCTGTAGAAAAAGATGAAAAACAGATGGCACAGCAAAACTCGGCTATCCGATAAAATTTAAGGCAAAAATTTGGCAAGTGAGATTCTCGGAGATTCACTCCCGGATACTTTTGCATGGTTTTCTGGGTGACAAGCTCTTATTACAATTAATATTTTTCTTTGATATCAAAAATAATATAATTTATTAACCAATGACATTATACATTATAAATTGTCCATTTGATACAATCCTATGTGTCTGAGAACTGGGCCCGTATGCATAAAACATCTAAACTTAAGTGTTCCTTAAACTTAGATTTCACTAAGAATTCCCTTAGTTAAGTAAAATTCTTAAGTCGTATGCATAAACTTACTTAAGTCTTCACTTAACTAAGGAATACTTAAATCGGAACCTTTCTCTAATTACCGTAATACTATGATATATATCAGCTCATCGCAGGAACTCAGTCGTTTAAAAGTTTGTCATGATTATTTACATTGATTAGTCAAGTATTATACATACTTTTATTAAGAGTTGGGGTTAAATTGATGTTGGTATTTAAAACAATTCAATAATACGTAACATTATGATAGTACAATGTTGAAACAGATGAAAAAAATGGCGTAGACGAGAAACGGTACGCGTTTCGATGGATGAGCATTGGAAGAAAAAAATATTTGTAGTCCAAAACTTCCCCCTACTTAATCTTTAATTCATCTTTAATGGATGTTATATTTTCTGGAGACAACAATATATTTTAAACTTTAACAAAACATGATTAAGGTTTCAATGGCGTAGCACCAGTGCAGCATTGTAAGCATATGCTTACAAATAATTTTATAAAACTTTTTTTTTTCAATAAGAATTTTACTATAATCGTTCAACTTCTTATTAAAAAATATATTTCGATCTAAAATAAACATTTTTATCACTTCCCTTTTACAACAAAAAAGGGGGTAGGATTAATTTTCCACGAATCCATTTAAAAACGAGGTCATTTTTCAAAAGTCCTACAATCTTCACTAAAACACATTATTAGATTCAGATGTTTACGGTAAGGTATTATCAACATCTTAGCGTACTTAGCAATATTTTCGTTAAAGCAGTATATCACTGAATATATGAGGAAATATGAAAAATTATTTAATACGGTTTAGGTATCATAAATACGTTATATAAACTTCGAATTCCATTGGGTAGCAGTAGCGAATCCAGAAATTTTCATATGGAAGGGGGAGGCACTGACTGCCATAAGAGCTACTAGTGGACCGCTCCAGTGATTCCCTAAATAAACAACCAAATTGTTCCCACAAAAGGCCGAGGTCCCTGTTCCCCTTAAATCAGCCTCTGGGTAGGTTTCAAAACTTTGCGATTTTGTCCCTGTAAGTGAAACCAATTCAGGGGAAATATGCCCTACATCTTTAAAATAAAACTAAATAATCTAAAATTCAACCGATGCCCCCCCCCCCCCCCCCCCCCCACACACAGAAAACAGGATTTGCAGGATCGCTTCCTTCCTTCATACTGTTTTTACTAACGGTTACAATTGATACCACGCTGTGTATTTTAAGAATTTAACGTTTAACATTATTTGTGTAAACATGCACGTACAGGATAACAAAAGAAAAATAATAGCATGAATTCCATGCGTGTACAAACTGAGTACTAGTACTTTTCGGTATACACAACAACGAGATTGGGAAATAAGGGTAGAATGAAGTTACATTATATAACTACCCTCTGTTATCTCTTGATTTGTTGATTATACACAATGTACGCTATTTTAAGAAACATACGATGATCGTTAATATTTAGCAATAAACAAAAGATGTATTAGTATTTTATTACTGATATAAGTATAAAGCAATTGAATTGTAGCTAATCTATAAATGTTCTGCCAAAAAAAGCATACTTTCGACTGATTTTTAACTATTTTTGAAAATTTAAGGTAGCTCTATAGGTACCTTAGACTTAAGTAAAATCTTAGGCGTTTTCTTAGTTTAAGTCGTTTTATGCATACCACTTAAGTTTTGTGGGCGTGACTTAAAACAACTAAGATTTTACTAAGGAAATACTTAGTTTAAGATTTTTTATGCATACCACTTAGGTAAAAAGGGCGGAGTTTCCTTAACTTAAGTGTTTACTAATTAAGGAAAATCTTAACTTAAGTAGCTTTATGCATACGGGCCCTGGTCGTTAATACAGATCTAATACAGAAAAGCCAGTTAATTCAGAATTTATGCTGGTCTTAATATAGAATTTTAACTTCCGGTTTTTGGTTCAAAAAGGTGTCAGAAAATAGATGTGTGTACGTGAAATATTAGATTTCAACAAGTTTGATGTTAGAGTTGTACAGTTATTATTTTTCATATGTTATACTTTTTTTTCTTTGAGTATATCAATTATGGATTGTATTATGACCTCGTACAGTCGTATTGGGTCTCGATCAGATATATTGGCCCTCGGCTACGCCTCGAGTCAATTCAGCCAACCTCGACCAAATACGACTGTATACTTGAGCATAATATAGGATTAATATGAAAACACCCATTTGATCGAGTTAAGCCATTTCAATTGATATCTTATTGTGTGTCTTTTTATGTTGTAATGTTATACCACTGTTTGAGATTAGGGTGAAGGTTGGCGCCTGTTTAAAACCGCTGCATTTTTGTGCACCTGTCCTAGTCAGGAGCCTGTTTTTCAGTGGTTTTCGTTTGTTGGTTTGGTTCATAAGTGTTTCTCGGTTCTCGTTTTTTTGTATAGATCAGACCGTTGGTTTTCCTGTTTGAATTGTTTTACACTATTCTTTTTGGGGCCCTTTATAGCTTGCTGTTAATTGTAAGCCAAGACTCCGTGTTGAAGGCCGTACTTTGACCTATAATTGTTTACTTTTTACACATTGTGACTTGGATAGATAGTTGTCTAATTGGTACTCATACCACATCTTCTTATTCATATATGATTGTGGTATACAATTTGCCCATGAATTGTGGAAAAAACTTACATGTATTTTTTTAATAAAATTTTGAAAATACGTAAGGACACTGATGAAATTTTGTACAGTAGTTGAGTCCAATACACAAATGAGCAATTTATTTTTTGGCCAATACATTGTTAGAAATATTAGTTTTTTTAAAGAAATCACAAATTTTGAGAAACATCTTTTTGTGCTTGCCGATTGTTTAAATGTAAGATGACGGAAATACCACTACGTGGTCATCACTTTCAGTATCGGATAATCCATTTGGGATGAAGAGTAATTAAATTTCTGTTCCATTTGTTGATACCCCAAGCATGAATGGTTACTCTTGGTCTTCTTCTGACCGACAATAACACCCGCGTAATATAAGGTGTCCGTTTTGTTGTGCGTGATGTATAATTATCAGCCACATCCGATCAGAATTGAGACCCTAAATTCATGCCTCTTGTAGAGAGAATGTCATGCTTTCTGCACGTTACGAATCCTTGCTACAACTCTTTAGCGGGTCCGTAGATGACCTGTGGCAAGATTTCTGTTCCTATCCAATGTACCCTCATTTTCCGGTGGCAATCAAAATTTCCTGCTCTTTATCCCTTCCGACCTCTTTAACAAGACCTATCTAGTTTGTGTATTGTTAATTTGTTCTTCTCCTCTACATTCATGAAATATTTGCTACTGGACGTTTAACATCAATCAACTTTTCCATTTGTTGAGGCAAATGTTAAACCTTTCTCTTGAGCAATGTAATTATATTTAATTTACATTGTTTCGTATCATCTCGACAAAGGCCATGCAGTGGGAGCTTTTATTACTTTACTATCACTTGGCAGCCTTTCAATCGTCGTTCCTTTTTATCTGAATCTAAACCACTGCAAATTTGACAGCACCTGATTTAATTCTTTTGGTAGCTAAAGTCTGTAAAATTTATACAGGCCTACAGTTAATGACCGCCATGGCTAAAAATAGTAAATAAGGAGAAAATTGAGATAATTACCAAATACATAGTAAATAGATACCTGTTTAAAATCATATATGAATCGAAAGGTCATTTTACCATACTATTCATATTATATTATCAGACTTTTCCATATAGAATTTACCTTAATCAATGAGTTTATCAATTTAATCTTAAAAACCATAAAAGACTAACAACAAAATTGTCAGCAATTCAAACTAATAGTATACAAAATGTCGATATTTCTAATACCAAAAGTCCCCCCACACAATTCACAATTCTCGCATTCATGTACTTAAACAATTATAGAGCTAAAAGCAGATACTATGTCAAAATTACTGTCATCGGTTTAAAAGAAAGGCGAAGGATACCAGCACATAATATAGTAATTATTTACGTATTCATGTAATTAAAGTTAAAACCATTTAAATGTTTAGTTTTAATTTGGCGTTAAAAAATACATAGACGTTTGATATCATCTATGGCCTCTGATCAATTTATCAACAGAAGATTTGAACATGTTGAAAATTCATTAAAGAGACCCCAAACAATTTTATGACGTTTGATCTCTTAGGAAATTCTTAACTACAGTCTAAATAAATAATATACAAAAATTAAGTTCGTATATTTATTAACGTTGTAAAAAAAAGAAACGGCTATTTGTTTCCGGTAAGTTTACTAGAATTTTTTATTGATGCATAATATAATATATCATTCAAGTAAAACAGCAAAATTAACATACAAATTCTAAAAACTTTATGACGTTTAAAATCAGAAGCAGAAACAAGGGAGAAAATGAAAAATCCTATGTCGAAAGAAATAACGCAACGTCCGTTATAATAGAGCTTTCTTACAATTTGACGACAGGTACATACGGTTGACGAATTATACGTAAGACTCGTTTGAGGGATCCTTAAAAAAGTTTATTTGACTTTTAATTATTTATTTTTTTTTTCAAATATGACATTTTTGTGTTATCTTAAAACACTGTGCGGGACAAGTTTGACATTCCAGAGTTGTCAAATCTGACTTTGTTGTTTTACAAGATAACAAAAATATTTTTTGGCAAAGTGATAGATAATCAAAAAAATTAAATTTGTCCATGTGTTCCAACGTGTCACTGTTGTCACTTCAGCTGATTAAAAGTACATTTCCCATGGGAATATTAGAAGTTATCATGGGAACAATTTTTTCATCCAATGGGACCAATTTTTGATCCCATGGGAACATATAATTTTCTATAGGAATATGTTTTCCATTTGAATGTTTTTTTTTTCTCCTAAAAAATGAAATTTGCTGCAAAATACAGGATTTATGTTAAATTATTGCAGTTAGCAGGTTTTCAAAAAGATATCAATATGGTTTCGTATAGAAAATTGCAATCAACATGCATCTTCTATGAAACTCTGATTATCCAGTAAAATATGAATCAAGTTTTTAAATTAAGTTGTGTGTGTGTGTTGTGATCAACAAAATATTCTTTCTTCTATGAAACTCTGATTATCCAGTAAAATATGAATCAAGTTTTTAAATTAAGTTGTGTGTGTGTGTTGTGATCAACAAAATATTCTTTCTCAATATTTATGAACACCTTGATTATTTCGTTTAATTCTTATTCAATTGTTCCATAAAAATAAATATCCTTTTAAATGCTGACTGCATGATTAGAACAATACGTATTAAAGGCATTATTGTGTCTTGAAAGGATTTCAAATATATTATTTGCCTCGACCTGTATAAAACTTAAAAAAAATACTGACAAAATGTATGTCACCAACGTTATTTGAAAACAAATATAAATAAGAGGAGATAAAGGTATAAATATAAAGCAACAAGACCGCAATCCAACAACACAAAATAGCTGATGTAGTCATTTTAAAATCACCAATATCTTGAATAGAGACTATGACAAAATTACCATCAAAACTAAATTCACTAAATAAGAATAAAAACATTAAAACATGACAAATGATAACCCTGATTACCACTGACAACGTTTCATGTTGGTGATAGGACCATAAAGATATGTCGAGGTTAAACTCGTCAAAAATTTATTCTTATAGGGAAACAATATATCCATAGCAGAGAATGTAGAGAGCTTGATATTATAAAGGAAAATGTTAAAAAAAGAACAATTTTATATTATCTCGCAATATGAAAAACAAAAGTAACTGTATTTTTCTCCTTTTTTTCAACTCTCTGGTGAATAATGACAGATATACAATGCAAATCTTAGTTTTCTTCTATAATTGTCTATAAGTAAAATAACGAAAAATTTTAAGTTCTAAAATAAACCAAATACTTCCACGTAGCAGAATTTATTACACAAAATGTAATTCATACATTACAGTGATAATGCACATTAGTTTCAAAATGATATATTGTCCTTACCTTTAATGGTCTTAAGTAAGAGACTTGAAGTTTGGAATGAGGACGACATCTCAAATTCCGCCCGTACAAAACAGTGCATGCATTTTTATTTATACTTTTTTTTAAAAGTCTCATACTTTTTTAACACAGGGCATATTTTAGTTTTAAATTTGAAAGTAATAAAATTGTTAGGACAGAAATTCAAAATTTTTTTTCGGTTGTGTCTGTTGTATTTGTTTTTCGTAAATTGTATTGTATAAATTAGGTCGTTAGCATTCACGTTTGAATTTGTTTCACATGTCGGGCCTTTTATTATAGCTGACTATTCGATATGGGTTTTTTCTCGTTACATGTATTGTCAAAGCTTGGATTTAAAATTCTAGCTACTATTTAGACCCTTTAAAAATTTGTGTAAAATTTCCGGTAAAATCAGCCAATTTTTATATAAATTAGTGCCCTCTTAGAAAAGGTCCATATTCTCTTTTAATTGTTTTTGGGCTGTAGTCTCTTATGGATATGTACCAAACAGGTGTGGATTCAGGATTATGAAAAGGGGGGCCTGACAAGCCAACGTTTGGGGGTGAAACTTGTAAAATGTCGATGCATTTATCATATACATTTTGTATGAAGCTCCATAAGGAATATCTGCTTGCATGGTCATCCACATAACAGATTTGTAATATTATGGTTATAACATTTGAGTCCGTCATTGATTCAATTTTTAAGAACTTTTGATTTTTGAGTGTTTTTTAATCTACATGTCTTTTGGTTGCAGTTTTGTAAGGTTGATATCTTATAGATGTATCCCACATCTCTTTTCATCATGTTATTGGCTTGTTAATGTTTTTTTATGTATTATTTTCCTTAACATGATTAATGTACAAGTGTTACATCTGTTATAATTATTTAAATTAAAACATTAAATATGAGAGATTTTATCTGTAAGCAACATTGTAGTGTTTTTCATGAAGGTTTGGACGGAGTTTACAGAATAGAGAATAATGGCAAAAGGTGCAGAACAAAGAACAAACAAATAGAATAGAGAAATATAATAGTAAAAAAAAAATTAAAAAATGGAGAATATTGGGGTGCTAAAATATTAAGAATAGAGAATAATGGTCTAAAAAATTAAGAATAAAGAAATGAGAGATCAGATCCCCCCCCCCAAAAAAAAAAAAAATCCAGACCCACTATCATGAAATTTAAATGTTAAATTTTGTATTAACAAGTTGAGTTGTCACAAAATTGACTAAGTTAGTAACATGGTCGTCCCAGAATTGATTGTAAATATGTTAAAGTACATTTGTATATCAAAAATATTTTTATACCAATAATTCATTTATAAAATATATGATATATGAGGATCTGAATGGGATTAACAGAATAGAGAATAATGGACAAAAAGTGCAAAATAAAGGGTAAAAAAGTAATAAAGAATAGAAAAAAAATTGTATAAAATTTAAGAATAAAGAAGGACCTTCTTGTATTTACTGAACATGAATTCATGACCGTGCAAAGGTGAAATTAGAAGAAGTAATGATCAGGATGTTTACATTAAATATGTAATAATTAGGAATTAGAATATACATGCTATAGGCAATTAACAGACGGAAGGGGAGGCCTCAACAAATGTAGACAAACAGTTTACTGCCTGGAGGGATGAATTAAAAAAAAATTCAAGAGTATTGGTACAGTAGATGAATTTATAATGATTTTCAAAAATGGTAACTTACCCTTTTAACATCATGTTAGTTCTACGTCCTTGGTTTTATATGTCTCTAATGTATGAAAACAGTCACTGGAAATTGTTATACATACAAAGTTTTATATAAATGAGATAAAATAGGGATAACTTGGAGTGTATGCATGTTCATGTAAAAAACCACCAGCAATATTTGACGAAGATGATAATAATGATGGAATGGAATTTAAATGTCCAGTGGCATGTCGGAACAGGAAATTGGCAATAGGTATAAATAGAACCCTACTTTTTACAAGATAGTAACGCTTAGTCGGAATTTTACGTGCTATTTCACCAGGTTCACATTATTAGTTACAATATAACTAACAATTGTGAAAACGAATTCTTAAACTGTTCTAGAACAATCTAATTGAAATATAAATCTGTGATTTTACAATTGCGTACATTTTTGTGAAATAAAATAGAATATTTATATGTTTCAAATTTTCCATAATTATTGACAACGAGTATATAGTTTACCTAGTTTTTTCCAAATTTTACCCTAGCTGGAATTATTTAGATTTTCATAAATATCATTCTTTACACCAGAAATGTCATTCATAAACAAGTGGTAGTAAAATTGTATACACGTATGAGTTTAGTAAATTGACTAATGTACATGTATCACTGTCGGACTCGAGACGAAAAAAATGTACACATGATGTATATTACACCTGATACTTTTTAAATGGAAAGTTCCAAGTTATACCTACCGTGTACACTGATACACTCAGAAGTGAAACGATGCATGAACCTGCATCATGTAATTGTGTAATAAGAGTTTTTAACCGACAGGAAATCGCTTGAATACCTGGACGTGTCACCACATAATACCTCTAGCAATAATTCCTTTAGCCGTGCTGATGATCAAATTAGGAAAGGACCTATTTAATAAATGTATTACATAAAAGAGTTATGAACAAATTATATTTTTGAAAACAATTTTACACGGAATACCGCTCGTTAATTATGACTTTCAAACTTTGAGAGAATCCATTAAAGTAATCGCTCTAAACTTATTCCTTATATATTTACCTGTTTCATAAACTTAGTAACAGTTTAAAAACGACAGGCAATAGTTTATTTCAAAAATAGATACCCAATCGGCCTACTCTTCCAGTTCTTAAACCTTTTTTTAGACATTGTTCCGTATCAAGTTAGTTTTAAAAGTTTGCCGATAGCTAGTACAACCATATCTGGTATAATTCTTTTTTTAGGACCCGGGAAACTGTGTTTGCTTTTGTCATTAACTTGCCGGGTGAAACAACCGTTCGCTTGACAAGTGATTTTAACACTGAATTAAGACTACGTTAGTCCCTGCTTGTTTTGGTACTTTGTGGTTTATAGATATCGTGGTTTTTTCAATCGGGAAGCCGTCAAGATGGCTACATGTAAAGAACTGATATTCTCAATTTAAAATCGATGTTGATCTCTTATCTAGGAGAATAAAAGTTAATTTTTATGAATTTGTGCTTTTTTCTACATAATGAACATAATATCAATTTTTTATTTTTGTTTCTGCACAAAACGAGTGTTTATTAGGTCGTTATACATGCTC